TATATATATATTATATATATATAATATATATATAATATAATTATATATATGAATGATCTATGCTAACCATAATGCTGACCATAACGCCAAAGAAACGAAGCGATTTAAATACATTCGGAATCTTAAAATCAATCAGATTAATTTTCTATTATTTTACGGAAATCTAATAAATTTAAAAGCGCAACAAATAAAATTTACCCTGTTTTATTTTAGTAAATGATTAAATATTCTTATTATAAATTACTAAAACATTTATAATAACAACCAGTTTAAGAATTTTATCCGAATTTAAAAGTTAGGGGGGGGGGGGGGTTAAATTTAAAAAATATGATCTAAAAATAACATGGTATTCACATATATCGGAACACCCAAAAATTTGTTTTTTTATTGGTTTTTTTTTAATGGTTGTTAGTATAGCGAAATAATATTTTAATTAATTTGATCTAAATAAACACTCAAATGCCCATTTTAGCCAAAGCTCTAAGTTTCTTTGATGTACTAACTGCGCATGGCAAAACTGATAATGTATTTTCCTCTTCATAAAAGAAAAATTAATAAATATAATTGATTGCTTTTCAAATTTTAGTTTCGTATCTTTAACATTTAATACGTTTTGAATTTTTAAATTCCAAAAAAACTTTTATTAATTTAAATTTATAAAGTAATAAAAATTTAAACTTTAAATATGCCTTTATTAATAAAATGCAGTTTGAGTCAATCAGTGCAGCAACATTCCACAGCCAAATGGCATTCACGAATTCCCTTGCCACTCATCCAAATAACAAACAGTATGAAGTGCAAAGAATGGTTTTTTGCGAACGTAGAGGGCTACAATCCCGGGATGATTTTATAAATTTTGTATTAAACTCTTGGGGTGGGGGTGGATAGGATACCTCCATTTTGCCCCAGGCAGCACAAAATACGCCCCAGAATAAAGGAATGCATTTTATAAATAATTAACATGCTTAGGTAAAAATATATCGGGGGGAGGAAATAGGGTGTGTTCATTTTTACTTGGTGGACAATTCTTTAAATCCAATGATATTACAGTTGTGAAAAAACGATGTTACATACTTTTTGTAAATTAACATATTTATTATGTTTATCAATTACTAAAATCAATGGCATTAGCAAAACGTGGTACATTTACATATTTATACCTATGAAAATCAAAGCCCAATAATTCTACACATGTGAAAATGTAACTTTGAAAAATAGAGATGGGCTAAGATTTTCTTTCAAAATTATTTTTAACCATGTGAAAAGTAAAGTGGGTGTATATTATTAAAAGATTAATAACATTTCTGTAGAAAAAAAGGACACCCAAGGCTATAACAGACATAAAAAACGGTTTACAGATACTTCTTTAGATAAAAGAATTCTTTATTTTACTATTTTACGATAATGTAGTGGAAAATAAATGCAAAAGTTTGGTTAAATTTGTAATGAAGATATCAGTATATCAAATTCCGTTAATATAAAATATAGGTAAAATAGTATATATAGTTTTTGTTGTAAATTTTAACATTAAGTTTTCCTAATTTTTACAGAAAAAGTTTTTTAATAAAGACTTGACTTCTAATAGTGTTTAGGGTAGGCACATTTTACAATTTTAAAACACGTGACGTCTCTAGTGTAGAAATGAGCCGTTAATGAACTCCTTTTGTGACAATAATTAGTTAATTAGGGATTTTTTTAGAATTGGTAATTTTGGGTCATGTTTAGAGAGATTTTAAAAAAATAGTTTAGGTGCTCGAAAAATGGTAGGGGTTGCATATACGATATAGCAAAAAAATACTTCTAAACTTTTAATGAAGTTAGAAACGTAAAAATCATTACATAGAAACTTCTTTTTAAAATAAGGAATTGTGATGAGGTTTCACAATTGCGGTTAAAAATTAACGCAAATGCCTGCCATTATTATTTCGATAACTTCGGGTGAGATTTGCTAGTATATACATATATAAAAATGAGATATGATGACGTAACGCCAAAGAACTGAAAATACTTAGATACGTTCGAATTCTTAAAAGCAATCATAATTATTTTCTATTTTTTTACAGAAATAGAAGAAATTTAAAAGCTCAAAAATATTATATCTCCACTTATATTTTAGCAAACAATTAAGTATTGTTATTATAAATTGCAATTATATTTCAACTTGGGAAATATTTTAATCAATGTATCATATTGTAAAAGCTATGAAAAAATTGTTAATCAAAATATTATGATCTAAGAATTGCATCTTAATCATAATCATCGGGAGTTTTCAAACATATGCTATTCTTAGTGCATTTTTAGTGCATTTTATTGCGAAATAAAAATAAAATTAATATGATCTAAAAATTTCGCTAATGATGTCACAGCAAGATTGCCTATTTTAGCAATTTTGCTCCAAGTTTCTCAGATTTTTTAACTGTGCGTGACAAAACTAATAATGTATTTTCCCCTTTTAAAAGTAAAATTAATAAATATAATAGATTACTTTTAATATTGCTAACATTTTCTAAAATTAAATACAACTTTAGCTTTGTATTTTTAACATTTAATAAGTTTTTACTTTTTATTCTTCCCAAAAATATACATTTTTAAATTTCTAAAGTAGTAAAAAAAAAACTTTACATATACTTTTTTTAATGCAGTCAGCGCAGCGAAACTACATATCCAAAATAGCATTAACCAATGCACTTATCACTCCTCCAAATTTAAAAAAAAAAAAGGAAGTGCAAAATAGGTTAGTGTTGGCATGGCAGGGACTACAATCTGGTTCAAGAGTTTCTTCATTTTACCCCAGGCATCACAAGATACGTCTCAAAATGAAAGGAAAGAATTTGATAAATAGTAAACCTTCTTGGGTGTATAAATATCGTAGGTAGGAAATTGGAAGTGTAAATTTGTACTTGGATGACAATATATTTAAATCCTTTGGTATTACATTTGTGAAAAAAGAGATGTTATATTCTATTTTTACATATAAACATATTTTTACTAATTAAGAAAAGAAATGGCGTCAACAAAACGTGGCTACACTTATATTAGTATTAATATTAAAACCCATTAATTTTACACACTTGAAAATTCAATTTGAAAAAAGGAGATGGGTTAATATTTTTTTTTTTTTTTTAATTAAAATATATTTTTGCTTTTATTTTGCGAAAAGTAAAGTGGGTGTGTATTTTTATGATATGAACAATTAAAAAAACGAAAATAAAGACACTCAAGTCTGTTATAGAAGTGAAGAACGGTTGCGAGATTCTTCTTTAGACAAAGATACCGGTACACAGTTAAAACAGTTAGAATAATGTGCCAATGAATAATGATGAAATGCGAAATAAACACATACATAAGAACACAAAGAATTATGCACGTCTCGTGAAGTTAATAAAACTTATCATAATCTCCGTCTCTCCGTCCGTGTCTGTCAATCCATAGGTCGAGTAAGCCCTGCCTTCCAAAAAAGACTTATGACGTGTTGTTTACATTTCTCGGGTTATCGAGCACATTCGAGAAAATACCAGGAAGACAGTCTAACATGTTTAATTGGTAAACACGGTTGTAAACAAGATGCATCAAACGAATAGGCCACGCCCACAACAGACGTTACTGTCTGCTAGAATCTAATTTAGGTCAAGTAAAATTCAAACACGGGGAATGTATGCTACATAACAAAATCGGGGAGCGTTTTCATCTGGAAGAAGGGCGGAAATTGAGGGGGCCGATGAATCTCGATCGGTGTAGGGGTCTGGGGAGCAGGGCTCCCCAGAAAATTTTTTATGATATCAAAGTCCATAGGTGTATTTTTTAGTAAATTTGAATTCAATGTTTTTATATTACTTTTTTAAAGGGGGGGGGGGTAGTTTTATGGTTTGTGGGAGGCATTATCGCGCCCAGTGCAATACATAAGCTGAATTC